AGGACAGTGCTTCATTTGAAGCCTCCTCCCAGCAGTGGAGCAAACTCACAAAGCAGTTGCTGATTTCCTGGAATCGAATACTTCCTTCTCTCTTTGGCAGATATGCAGTGGGACAGGGGGATTACTTAGATATGCTACTGGCCAGCCTTTTCACCAGAGGCTGCAGCTGCTGCTCAGCATTTTCCTGTTTTCCTTTTTCTATTGTTTAAAAATCCTGTGTTGATACAAGCTCTTGATGTTAACGTGTCTCAGAAGAAATTCAACCGTGACATAGGTTTCACAATGTATTTTGCTGATTTCATCATGTATTATCATTCTCATTTACTATCACTTTACTGAGAAATACTGTATTTTCTTTCTGGGACTGTGGGAGTGTGGTGTGCTAGGGGCAGGATAAAAGAGACACAAGATGTGATGTATATGCAGGTGTCTGTGCCCCTTCACCTCCATGCTCCACTTATGCTATTGGCCCTCTCAAGAAAATTTGCCTTTGGTGATGCCAGCTGACCCCCAAAGTAGAGAATCAAGGTGAAGGCAGGCCGCTTTAGTTTAGTGGTTTGAGTCAGTGAACCACTTCATAATTCCCAAAATGCAGCCTCGCTCACATCCAATGTAATGGGGTCTGAAAGTCAAACCCCACAAACTCTTGGAGCTGGTATCTCGGGTTGCTCTAAAAAATTCTTTGAGAATGATATTCTTCATCAGTGCTTAACCATGTGCTCTCTATAAATCAAGGGTCAAAATGTTGAATGATTCAGTCTCTCCAGTCTGTCAGTCAATGAGTAAAAGTGTATTGAAGGCCTCTTCTAAGTCAGAACTTTCGTATCAGCGGCCAAAGAGACTATTCATCTACACATTAATGGTCTCTCAAGTTTGCCTCTACCCCAGTGCTCCAGGCCTTCAGTGAGGCTGAGAGAGGAGCCTTCTCTGTAACTAGTCAGGTATCTCTTACCTGTCCTTTCTTCTAGTGTCCTTATGCTCCATACCCCCATCTCCTTGGCAGGAACTCCAGATATTGATGAAAGATACTAGAGTGGGGTAGAAAGAACACGAAAGACTCGGCCAGCAGTGCAGGATTAAGTCTTTCTAGCTATGACCTTGCACAGGCCGCCTGGTCTCCGCAGACTTCACTTCTTTGTTTCCATGACTTGCGATCTGAGGGTATTTTCAGTGCTAAGACTCAGTGAATACAAAGGTGTGGCAACCTGAATCTCTGGTTCCTTAAACTAGAGTCTCCCAGTTTCTTCTTTCCAACATAAAGCATGGACTTGAGGGGTATTGTCAATGGTTTAATTGGTGCCAAGCAGAATGTCACACAGAAACTGCTTTTTACAGAGAACAGGGGCCAGCCACAGGGAGAACTTTTCTCTGCATTTAAAATATGTATACCCTGTACTAAAAATATCTTACTCTTTGTAAAATCCTCACAATAACCCCAGGATTTAGGCACTGACTAGGAGTTTTACAGCGAAGAACCCAGGGTTCAAGGAAGTTCCTCAAGGCAAAGGAGAAGGGATGGAGGCCAAATTTGAATTTCAGTTCATCATGCTCTGGGAACCCTCAGACTATTGTGCTGTCTCCACATAAGCACCCTCAGCCCCCACCCAGAACTTGGAAAAGTAAGTGGGAAGAGCGTGGAATTAGAAGACTGATGACTTGGCTGGATGTGGTGGCTTATGCCTCTAGTCTCAGCTACTCAGGAGGCTGAAGTAGGAGGATCACTAGAGTTCAGGAGGTCGAGGCTGCAGTGAGCTATGATCATGCCACTGCATTCCAGCCTGGGCAACAGAGTGAGACCCTGTCTCTAAAAAAAAAAAAAAAAGACAAAGATGACAGATGCTTTTTTTTTTTTTTTTCGATGGGGTCTCACTTTGTTGCCCAGGCTAGTCTGGAACTCCTGGGCTCAAGTGATCCTCATATCTCACCCTCCATAGGCATAAGCCACCACGCCTTTCTTTTTCTTTTTCCTTTTTTAATTGAAGCTCTGCATTCTAATTTTGGTTCTTATGTTACTCCTGTGATCTTGCGCAAAGTATCTTTCTTCTGATCTGTAAACTGAGGGAACGGCTTTTAAGGTGCCGTTTAGGCCAACTTCTAGGATTCTAGGAAAACCATCTAAATATCTACCCATTGAATCCGTTGAATCTGACATTCTTTTTTGTTGTTGTTGTTTTTGAAATGGAGTCTCGCTCTATCACCCAGGCTGGAGTGCAGTGGCGCAATCTCTGCCCACAGCCAACCTCCACCTCCCAGGTTCAAGCAATTCTCTTGCCTCAGGCTCCCAAGTAGCTGGGATTACAAGTGTGCACCACCGCGCCCGACTGATTTTTGTAATTTTAGTAGAGACAAGGTTTCACCATGTTGGCTAGGCTGGTCTCAAACTCCTGACTTTCGGTGATCCACCCGCTTTGGCCTCCCAAAGTGCTGGGATTACAGGTGGGAGCCACCATGCCCAGCCCAATCTGGCATTCTTTACAAAGACCAGTCCATAAACAAATAAAACAGCTGGCATGTGATGATGCAGCTCTCAGGGCTGTAACCTGAAATCCACTTCCCATCCTTCAGAGATGAGTTGCCTGTCAGCAGAGGCTCAGAAGTTAGCTCTCATACCTGCTTCCAATTCAACAAGCACAAAAACTGTCTTTAGGAATATTTTCTAAGTACTATCTGCTTGCAAGCACCTAAATGCTTTTCTGCTTATTTTCCTTGGGGCTTTTGATGCGAGCAACCTTTTATCAGATATCTGACAGTTTTTCTATCAGATTAGCCTTGCAAAATTTCATGTGTCTCATATTCTCTCTTAAACAGATGTTAACTGTTCCTCCACCCTCTCCCCATCCCCATCAATGGTGTCTGGGTCCTGATCGAGAATAGATGACCAAACCTCACTTCCTCCCCATTTGCCATGTATCCACAGGCATTGTCTACAGTAGCTACATGCAGAACTGCTAGAGTAGAGGACTAAAACAATTTTGCAGTTAAAAAAATATGGGAGGAAAGCTCTGGGCTGCCAAAGGAATGCTGCCTTTTTACTGATATTATGGAAAAAGCAGAGTCAGGCCTGGCTCCACAGCTGAGCTCTGCACAAGGTTTTGCCACTTGGCTCTTGATCCTCTTAGCAACCAGGCTGCAAGCACAAGAAGCCTCTTTCCCATTCACACAGCAACATCTGCAAGCTTTCAGTCATTCAACAGGCTGCAGCCCTGGGGAAATCTCGGGTGTTTCCTACTTTAGTATAGGCAATAACTAACTGTAATCTGAGCTCCATTCTGTTGCTTCTCCACTGTGCAGTGACTAATAAGAGCATGGACTCAGAGCCAGACTACTTTGCTTCCAATCTCAGTTAATAATGACCAGTTCTGTGGCCTTGGGCAAGTTATTCAAATTCTCTATGCCTCAGTTCCAACATCTGCAAAATAAGGGTTAATGGCACTATCTACCTCATTAAGTATTAAATTTAGATATACAAAAATAAAGTATCTTGCATGTCAGGTGTACTGTTTGCTAATATTATATGGATTGACGATCATTAAGAAATAGGGGGCCTAGTTCAGCATAAGGAGAATGAGATAAACTCTAATCTTTTTGAAACTTCACTTCCTCTCCTTATACATGGGGTACTTTCTTCAGTATGAATCTCTGCAATTGTCCCTTATGCCTGTTTGTCCTTCACCTGCATATTCCCAGCCGAACCCAGAGCAGGCAGTTCATCAAAATCTATTGAATATTAGAGGCACAAAGACCTCTACTGACCTGCCATTCTTGACTTTCGACACCAAAGGAGGGTTTTTTTTTGTTTTTTGTTTTTAAAATACAGTTGTGGTCTCACTTTGTCCCTGATGGCTGGATTGAAGTGACTTGATCATAGCTCACTGCTGCCTCAAAATCCTGGGCTCAATCGATCCTCCTGCCTCAGCCTCCCTGGTAGCTGGGATTACAGGCGCATGTCAGTATGCCTGGCTAATTTTTTGATTTTTTTGTAGAGATGAGGTCTCACCATGTTGCCCAGGCTAGTCTTCAACTCTTGGGCTCAAGCAATCTGCCCACTACGGCCTCCCAAAATGCTGGGATTACAGACTTCGCCTAAAGGAGACTTCTAACACTGGATTACTCTGAAACCTCTACAGAAATTTTAGTAAATGCTTTGATAGCTTAAGGTAGTAATACAAAGTTGCCAAATGTTTACGTTCTCACAAAATTTTGAGACACGACTTTCTAACTCATTCAGGTGAGCAAGACCATGTCCGGCTAATTTTTTAATTTTTTTTGTAAACGGGGCTATGTTGTCCAGGCTGGTCTCAAACTCCTGGGCTCAAGCAATCCTCCTGCCTTGGCCTCTCAAAGCGCTGGAATTACAGGTGTGAGCCACGGTGCCCAACCAGAGCACAGTATTTAACATCATACTCCATATTGGAGTTAAGAATGTGTACACACAATGAGATTTAAAATTATGCCAATTATAACTTCAATGTGCTCATTCTAGCACTGCTTATGAAAGTTATGCAATTAAAATGAACTGGATTTTGAAAGGTTGTGCTCAATATTGGGCCAGATTGTTTCTAACTTGCAGGCTATTCGACAGTTAATAGGCCACGCTTCCCTCCAGACATCAAACGTTGGCCCAAAGCTTGGTGAAATGGTACAGGGTGTCATTCCTCCCACAATTTGTAAATTGTCTCTGGGGGTCATTCTGATCAGAAAATGAATATAAAGCTGTCACCTATCCATTCTAGAGTTTGGAGCATTCTAAAAGTAATGTACACATTTGTCATTTCATGACCGCATGGAACATCTTCCATGCAGTTGTACACGAGTCCCTCCATTTCTGAGCCTTGATTAAATCTTAGCAATGCTGACACTATTACTTAGGAAATCTGGCATTACACAAAAGAAGTCTCCAAACTGAGAGCTCAAAAGATGTAGTTGTTTGGTAAAAACACCCGCGTTGATACATCTGAATATTACATGTTATATTGTAAACATCAAGTAACACCACAAACATTTTAAAAAAGGAAGTTTATTGGTCTTTAAATGGCTCAAATTGCAAATAAACAAATCGGGTAGTGGCATCAGCCTAAGACACGTGATGCATCTTTGTCAGTTGGCTTCATAGCACCTCAGTACCCAGGAGAGGAAAGGTCTCAAAGAAAAGTCACAATGTTAGTGGTTAGGACCCCTGGTTAAATAAGACTGCAATGAGTACACATGGAGATTGCTGGGCCCGCTGGCCAGTGTTACATTGGTAACTTGAATTCCGCACATGGCACAGCCTATGAGAAATACGAAATGAAAGATGTACATCTCAAACCCTTTAAGGACAAATATTTAACATGAGAAGCTGGATGTAATATCTAAAGAGTGAGTTCCTAACTTTACGTACACACCTGTTACCTGGAATGCCTGAACACATCTTTGACCTGTTGAAATTAGGACTGAGAAAAAAGAAAAAAATACTTTGTTGAATCAACTGTCCTAGCCCCACTGCAAAGAGGGGGGAAAAATCTGACAGTGGCGTATTTCTGACTGAAATTATGTCCCCAAGTAGTGTGCCAGAATTCTTCCAGCAGGAACACCACACAATGGTGACACAGCCTAATGTGTGGTGTGTGCAACACGTTTTCTGCACTATACCCAGGTTTGACGGCTTGATGTTAACTTCTGAAAATGTAGCTAGTGTTCTTCATTATACATGAACAGACAAGAATTACTACTAATAATTCCTGTATCGAATTGTAACTTCATGAGTATAAATTTAGAAACGAACAGATGGCAAGCATGAATATTTTCCCGAAGTGTTCTAGTGCAAAATGCATTAGCACTACTGACACTTTCTTCCTGTGCCCTGCTCCCAGATTAAAAACTTAACACTTACATGCTCACCACTGGCAGAAAGTGATTTCCAGGGACCAGCATCTTCAAGAAGAGGAGGGTTCATTCAAACATAACGTGCTGAATCCTCGCAGTTGAAAATTATCTTACAAGTATAGGCTGGCCCTTCACTTAAAATGACCTTGCAGTTTATTAAAAGTGATCAAAGAGCTCTGGAATCTTATTTTCAAGAACCAGAGTATGGCACACATTTTAAATTTGGACAGACTCCTAGCAGACAGTTACTTCTCAAGAATTTTCTATACAAAAGCTGTACTCCATGCTAGGCATATATTTTCTCACCAGTACACACGGGGCAGTGGACCCCTCGTGTCAGTAACACACCCAGAATGATATAACCGGGTATTTTTCAGTTTCTAAATTAAGGCATATTCAAAAAATTCCATGTACAAGTTTACACCACTTTTCTAAGTTACTCACCAGGTAACTAAAGCAGATTCACAGATGAATTACTCTCAGTTTAACTATATGCAACAACCATGCCAATAACTTTTCTTCTAAATTTTGCATAATAATGGTTAAAAAAAGTGGTACAGTTTAACTATCATCTTCACAACTGTCATTTTTCAAGGCAGAAGACCAAGACATTTTAAAATGATATAAAATTTAAGCTTTATAATAAACACCAGAGGAAGTCGCCTTTCCTCCCACTCCCCACCCCCATCTCACCTCTTTATTTAATATTTCAAGAAAGACTGCCGAGAAACACAAGCTCACACGCTACATTCAGGACCATGATAAATGTAGGCAATTATGAAATAAGTTGAACTTTGCTTCTTGGTGAAGCCACATTAATTTCTTTTTTAAGTAAATTTGACTTTCATTGCAGTTCCAATTCATGCTTTTAGTGATATACAACAATTTCCAAAATGTTAAAGTAATTTCAGTCAATTAAGCCTTCAATGGCAATGCTTATAAATTATATTTATTAGTATGGTCAAGATAAGAAAGGAGTTTGGGCTTTGATTATAAAATGCAGCATCTTTCTCTGATTCTCTTGGCTAAACTTTTCCTCTTCTTTTTTCCATTCTTTTCTTTGCTGTCTTCCATCTTTCTCGCTCGAATTTCTCTCATTAAATCAAAAAATACCTAGAAAGAAAAAAAAATAGGATCAATAAAGCAAACAGATATATGAACTTAGTACTTCTCCAAATCACAGCAGTAAACTTTGGGGATAAGAGAAGTATAAATATTTAAGAGCTCTTGTTTGGGAGTAGAGAGCGGAAAGCATACAACTAAAGGCTGATTCTCCCAGTATCTTGAAAAAAGGAGGAAACTAGGAAGTTTTCTGAATTATACTTTATGGTAAAAATGTTCATATGTAATAAAACCTGATCTTTCTGTTCCAGTTTTTGAGACGAAAATCTATCAAGTGCTACAAGGTGACGATAGCCCCAAAGATAAAACTCAATGGATTATACTGAAGTACTTTAATAATCAATAAATGTATTTTATTAATTTAACAATATATGCTTAACTTTATATTTAATAATTTGGTATTTCATAACTTGGTTTCCTCAGCTTCATTTCTAAAAATGGAGAAAAAGCTCCATTTTTAGAAATGAAGCTGAAGAAGATGGGTGTATGCTTTATCATCTTGATACCAGGCACTATGAAACAACTTTGTCTGTTACTCTATATGTGCGAATTTATCAGTTTTTGTCTGATGTCTAGGAACCGGTAAATAATGAGACATTAGCATAGTAACTAAAAAAATTATGAGTATAACAATTCAAAGTTCAATTTCAATAAGAAATTCCTCTGTTCTGTAACACAGAAGGGTCTGGAAGGCTACACACTCACACTCCACATAAACAGCTGAGAGTATATGATAAAAGGAGGAATAACTTTTATGATCACTTTTGAATTCTGGATTTAAAAAATAAGTTTTTACTTATAGAATTACAAAACCCAGTAAGACTAAAGATAAGCAAGAAATATGAAAGCGATAACGAGTGCTGTGAGTAAAGTGTGCATATGTCATGACTGATGTGGCCTTTCCTAACGCATCTCTGAAAAAAGCAACATACGGAATAGCAGATAGAGCACTACCTGTGTGTGTGTGTAGGGTAGGAGTACACCTGTATTTGTTTGCCCTTGGACAAAGAACAATGAAATAATAAACCAAACCCTAATAATCAATTTTATTTTCAAGAAGAAGGGAGGAGGGTACAAGGAAGAGTGAGGCATCTCTGAGTATATCTTGTTATAGAATTTCTACTTTAGAGACACAGGTGGTTTACATACTCAAAAATAAAATTAGGCCGGGGCAGTGACTCATGCCTGTAATCTCAGCACTCTCGGAGGCCAAGGCGGGCAGATCACCTGAGGTCAGGAGTTCTAGAATACCCTGGCCAACATGGCAAAACACTATCTCTACTAAAAATACAAAAATTAGCTGGGTGTGGTGGAGGGCACCTGTAATCCCAGCTACTCGGGAGGCTGAGGCACAAGAATTGCTTGAACCCGGGAGGTGGAGGTTGCACTGAGCCAAGATCGTGCCACTGCATTCCTGCCTGGGTGACAGAGCAAGACTTAGTCTCAAAAAAACAAATAAAAAAATAAAATAGCAAATCCTAAAAATTGAAAATCAAATTTAAACAAGTAAGACTAGGCGGGCATGGTGGCTCACGCCTAAAATCCAGCACTCTGGGAGGCTGAGGTGGGTAAGATCACCTGAGGTCAGGAGTTCAAGACCAGCCTGGCCAACATACAGAAACCTCATCTCTTCTAAAAATACAAAAAATTAGCCAGGTATGGTGGCATATGCCTGTAATCCCAGCTACTAGAGAGGCTGAGGCAGATCACTTGAATTCAGGAGGTGAAGGTTGCAGTGAGCTGAGATCATGCCACTAAACTCCAGCCTGGGCAACAGAGTGAGATTCCATTTCAAAAACAAACAAACAAACAAACAAAAACACAAACAAGTAAGACTGACTATATTCCAAGATGGTGACACAGTCATACAGAGGAATTATTTCAAAGGTCTACAAGACATAGCATAGAAAGTACCTATTTTAGAATAGATGCTAAGGATAAAAATAGAAACAAAATTCCAACAAAACAATACAAAGACAAATCTTAAACTTTTTTTTTTTTTTTGAGAGACTCTCTGTTGCCCAGGCTGGAGTGCAATGACGTGATCTCAGCTCACTGCAATCTCCGCCCCCTGGGTTCAAGAGATTCTTCTGCCTCAGCCTCCCAAGTAGTTGGGATTACAGATGTGCGCCACCATGCCCGGCTAATTTTTGTATTTTTGGTAGAGACAGGGTTTTGCCATGTTGGCCAGGCTGGTCTCAAACTCCTGACCTCAGGTGACCTGCCTGCCTCAGCCTCTGAATGTGCTGGGATTATAGACGTGAGCCACCACACCCAGCCAAACTTTATTTTGTAGTTTGTTTGTGACAGCAATGTTGCTCTTTTGGAACTATTTTATATACACTGAAGACTAATGCAAGGGAGGAATTATGTTAATGTAATTTAGGAACCAAGATTTTCAGCGTAAGAGAAAAGATATAAATACAAAATCAAAGATGTAAACATTTATAATGTTAAATTTGAATTGGAAATAACAACATGATCACATTTTTTTTCTTTTAATAATACCTATTTCCTAGCACTATTCACTAAAAAAATGACAACACAATAGCAGCAAGCAAATTAAGTAACTATGCTGTGGCTGCTAAAAACCATTCCTCCTAAACAGAACCTGAGTTCCTCAGATGAATGGCTGATTTCTGATCTGCAGCAAGAAGCGTAAAATTTAAGTCAGAAAGCAAGGAAACTACCAGAGATGAATGGACTGAGTCAAATGGACATACGACCAACATGAAGGAGCATAAATGGTTAAAGGGAAAAACTGAGCATAAAACACACACACACACACACACACACACACACACACACACACACACACACACACAGTACGCAACAGAATGAAACACAACGATGACATAAAACCCATGAATTCCTGCCCCGACTGGTTGTGATTCTATTTCCCCAGAGACTAGGAATTTCAGAAGACCTCTTGAAAGTCTCTGGTTAACTAGCTAGGACAGGAGGTCTCAATTCTAACTAAATGTAATCATTGGAATACTCCCAGTATTGCTTTCTAATGCAGACAAATCACTATGAAAAGGAAACTGGATGAAGGTTTAATTTCTGATGTTATTTTCAATTGAATTTTGTCTGTTTAACTGACACATATTCACAAAGTATACCGTGATGTTTTGATACATATAATGTACAGTGATAAGACCAGGGTAATTAGCACAGCCATCATCTTAGCCATTTATTATTTGTGTTGGGAACATTTATTATCCTCCTTTCAGGTTATTTGAAACTATATATTATTGTTAAGTATAGTCATCTACAGTAGTGTAGTACACCAGAGCTCATTCCTCATATCTAGCTGTAATTCTGTATAATTTAACAAACCTCTACCTATCCCTCCCATTCTCGCCTCTAGTATTCTGTTCTATTTTTTACTTCTATGAGATCAACTTTTCTAAGCTTTTACATATGAATGAGAACATGCAGTGTTTAACTGCCTGTTCCTGGCTTATTTCACTTAATTTTCTCCAGTTCTATCCATATTGCCTTGAATGACAGGATTTCATCCTTTTCAATGGTTGAATAGTATTCTATAGTGTGTATATATCATATTTTCTTTATCCATTCATCTGTTGTTGGCACTTGGGTTAGTTCCGTTATCTTGGCTATTGTGAACAGTGCTGTAACAAACAAATGTCATTAATAGGAAAACGGCTGTATTATGGAAAAGTCTAACCATGGAATACTTTGTGGTTTCGAAAGGAATGTGGATACATCTATATGCGGTGACATGGAAGAGTTATAAGATTTGTCATAAAATTTTAAAAGCAGTCTCTTTCCCATCTTGCAAGATGGCGGGTGAAAAAGTTGAGAAGCCAGATACTAAAGAAAAGAAACCCGAAACCAAGAAGGCTGATGCTGGTGGCAAGGTGAAAAAGGGTAACCTCAAGGCTAAGAAGCCCAAGAAGGGGAAGCCCCATTGCAGCCGCAACCCTGTCCTTGTCAGAGGAATTGGCAGGTATTCCCGATCTGCCATGTATTCCAGAAAGGCCATGTACAAGAGGAAGTACTCAGCCGCTAAATCCAAGGTTGAAAAGAAAAAGAAGGAGAAGGTTCTTGCAACTCTTACAAAACCAGTTGGTGGTGACAAGAACGGCGGTACCCGGGTGGTTAAACTTCGCAAAATGCCTAGATATTATCCTACTGAAGATGTGCCTCGAAAGCTGTTGAGCCACGGCAAAAAACCCTTCAGTCAGCACGTGAGAAAACTGCGAGCCAGCATTACCCCTGGGACCATTCTGATCATCCTCACTGGACGCCACAGGGGCAAGAGGGTGGTTTTCCTGAAGCAGCTGGCCAGTGGCTTGTTACTTGTGACTGGACCTCTGGTCCTCAATCGAGTTCCTCTACGAAGAACACACCAGAAATTTGTCATTGCCACCTCAACCAAAATCGATATCAGCAATGTCAAAATCCCAAAACATCTTACTGATGCTTACTTCAAAAAGAAGAAGCTGCGGAAGCCCAGACACCAGGAAGGTGAGATCTTCGACACAGAAAAAGAGAAATACGAGATTACAGAGCAGCGCAAGGTTGATCAGAAAGCTGTGGACTCACAAATTCTACCAAAAATCAAAGCTGTTCCTCAGCTCCAGGGCTACCTGCGATCTGTGTTTGCCCTGACGAATGGAATTTATCCTCACAAATTGGTGTTCTAAATGTCTTAAGAACCTCATTAAATAGCTAAGTACAAAAAAAAAAAAAAAAAAATTTTAAAAGCACACCACAGAAATATGCACTATATATACAGATATAAAATATATTATGTGTGTGTATAAATATGCACAAATCCTATTAATACAGGGGGAAAAACAAGCAAATGCAAACTTTCCCTTAGAGATGTGTATGCCTACTTTTAACGTCTGGAAAGACACACCCGTGTTAGCACTGGCTACTGAAAGGCAGGGGAAGGGAATGAAATATGGGAGAAAAGTGACTCATTTTTCCTCCTTATGTTTCTGTATTATGAATTTTTCTTTATATAATAAGCATGTATCCATGTATTACTTGTACAATGAAAAAACCCAAATATCTTTTCCAAAAAATACAGTGTATTTCTACCAACATTCTTCCCTCAACATAAAACTGATTCTCTTGACATAATAAATCACACTCCCCCTTTGGACATCTGTTAATATTTGCTCAACTTCTTTCTGTTCTGTCAGAATGTTCCTTAAAATCAAGAGCAACCTTGGAGTCGTGAATTAAGAACCAGAGCATTTAGCTAGGATACTAACAAGGTCATTGAATGAATCCAGTGGGTACACAAGTAGGTTTGCCCAGATGTTCCTTGAGCCTTGGGGTGATTCCTCTGTGACAAGCATGGCCTCCTGAGACATGCCATGCCCCATCTCTGGTGGCTATGACACTTCTTCATAAGTAGATTTTAAATCTGCATCTTTGAAACTTCCACCTAATGGTCTATTTGGCCTCCAGATGAGGATAAGGCACGAGCCAATGATCTTACAGAGAGCTAGCATTTGTTCTGCGACAAAGCACAACACGTCACAATTTAATAAAAGGGAATAACACTTCCTATTCCTGAAAATTTGTGATCAGGCTTCTAGTAGTGGATGACATAAGAAATGGGAGATACACTAGCTATTCCAACCATTGTTTTGTTTTGTTTTTGAGATAGGGTCTAGCTCCATTACCCAGGCTAGAGGGTAGTGGTGTGATCTCAGTTTACTGTAGCCTCCGCCTCCCAGGCTCAAGCAATCCTCCTGTCTCAGCCTCCCAAGTAACTGGGACTACAGAGACATTCGCCACCACACCTGGCTAATTTTTGTATTTTTTGTAGAGATAGGGTTTTGCCATGTTGCCCAGGCTGGTCTCGAACTCCTGAGCTCAAGTAATCTGCCTGCCTCAGCCTACCAGAGTGCAGGGATTATAGGTGTGAGCCACCGCACCTGGCCCCAACCATTTTTCTGAGTAAAACAGTGAGGAAAGAATGTGAGCATGTCATAACCAGAGTTGGCCAGACCCAGAGGCTGCAGATGCCACCACAAACCCCATGACCTTGAGCCAGTTATGTAATCTTCCCACACCTCAGCTTCCTCGTCTAAAAAGTGAGCATCGGAAGAGTATCTATGCCTCAACCAATTAAGGATTAAATGGTTGGTACTTATCACAGTGCCTGGCTCTTATAAGTACAAACAAATATTAGCTTTTCTGATTATTAGATTATTTCCTCAGGAGAACAACCACGAAGACAAGTATAACCTAATCCCGGAAATTGAATAGTTGCTGCAAATGCCTTTTACGTAGCCACTGAGGTATTTTATCTGGTAGCCACTCTGCAGGATGTAGCAGTACACGAAATTACATTCTTCAGTATGGATTTCCACCTCACTTTACAAGCAGCCTCGTTTAATGTAATTCTGTTTTGGACAGGTGACCACTGACTGCAGACTGTATTATCTGAAACTGGCCACAGCAATGCTTCCTATGTGCTTTTCCAGAATCCTGCCACTTTTCATCAAGAGGTGAAGTCTACTGCCCTTCCTTCTCAACCTAGGTGAGACTTTGTGACTACCTCCAACCTGTAGAATGAGGTAGAAATAATGCTGCGTAACTTCAGAGACTATGTCATAAAAGGCTGTAAGGTTTTTGCCTGGTTCTTCTTCTCTTGTGACACTTGCCCTTGGAGACTCTGCCCACTGTGCTGTGAGGAAGCCTAAACTAGCACATGTGGAAAAGGCCACATGGAGAAGCCCACCTGGAGAGGAACTGAGGCATCCTTGGATAACAGCCAGCATTATCTGGCTGAGCCAGACATGTGCGAACAAGCCTTCAGAACCTAAGTTTAGGTATTTCCAGTGCCTAGACTTGAAGCTTTCAGCTGAGGCAGCAGACACTGTGGAGCAGAGCCAAGCCATTTCCACTGTGCCCTGTTCAAATTCTTGGCCACAGAATGTATAAGCAGAATAAATGACTGTTTTACCCAGAAAGGTTTTGGGGTGTACTTTGTTATACAGCCATAGTAACTAAAACAGTCTTATACTTTCATTTTTTTGAAAAAGTGATACAGTCGTACCTCAGTATCTGTGGGGGATTGGTTCCAGGATGCCTGCGGATACCACAATCTGTACCTACTCAAGTCCCGCAGCTGGCCCTGCGGAACCCATGGATACAAAAAGCCAGCCCTCCGCATATGCAGGTTTCACATCCTGCTGTATTCTGTCTGTATCTAGTTGTAGACGCAGAGCCCAATGACATGGAGGGCAGACTGCATCTGTGAAAAAAAATCTGCGCAGCTGAAATCGGTGTTGAGGGCCAAGTGTCCATGAATATGGCAAAAAGTTCACAAGGGTATTTACAGTGAAAAGTGCATAAACTGTGAGTTAATTCTCTGGAGACAACCACAGGTACCAGAGTCTTACATATCCTTATGATGTGTACATAGATAATGTGTATGTATGTGTGTTTAAAACACATGGCAGCAAGCTACAGACCCCACTCTGTACTTTGTTTCACTTACTTTATAATTGAAGATCATTTGATATCAGCACATTTAGTTCTATCTTCATTTCTTTTTAATGGTTGGGCAATACTCCATTATTTAAACCAGTCCATTATTGAACACTTGGATATTTCCAGTCTTTTGCTTCTAAAACTAATGCTTCACTGACTACTACTGAACATACATGTATGCGTGAGTGCATAATTTGTTCTGTATAATACATTTTTAGCACTTAAATTGTTGGGTCATAATTCTGATGGATATCACAAAACTGTCCTTCCACCAAAATGAGAGGTTCCTATTTTTCTATACTCTTGCCGACAGTATATTCTATTCTCAACCTCTTTGCTTTTTTTCTCCCAAAGTGACGGGTAAAAAAAGGACATTCCACTATATTTTTAAGTTGTACTTCCCTTTTTATAAGAGACCGAACCTCTCTTCCAGTTTAAAGGCCATTTGTGTTTCCTTTCTACGACATGCCTGTTGCTGTTTTTGGGCCATTTTTCCTAGGTTTTTGGTCTTTCTCTCACTGTCCGTAAGAGCTGTGCTAATGCAGACACCATACTTCCCAGGGCCTCTGATGCCAACAGATGATCACCACAAGGACTGTTACAATACAGCTTTCTATCTTGAACTGCCAGTGGCTGCATGTCTTCCCCATTCCCCTTAGGTTTAAATAGTTTTTATAGTGTGTTCTACAACCTACTCGAGACATCAATTAGGAAAGTATATATATGCTATGAGAATGTTCAATGTTGCCTTTTAAAACCTCAAACACCCTCAATTTTAAAATATATTTTCATTAGTACTTTAAAAATATTTGCCCTACATATTGTCTCTTCAAATCTATAATTTTCTAATGACTTACTATAGGTCAGGCACAGGCTGGGGCATTTTACATATGTGATTTCATTTCATCTTTACAATAATCCTATGAAGCAGGTATTCTTGTTCCCATTTCCACACGGAAGCCAACTGAAATACCCAAGCCCTACTTACTGTGTTCAGAAACCGTGGTTTCCAGGAAACTATGAAAGGGCATGCTATGGACTGAATGCTTGTGTCACCCCAAATTTCATATACTGAAACCCTAATTCCTTATATGATGACAATAAGAGATGGGGCCTTTGGGTGGTAATTATGTCACTAGGGTAGGGTTTTCATAATGGAATTAGTATCCTTCTAAGAATGAGGAGAGCTATCTCTCTCTCTCTGTCATGTGAGGATACAGCAGGAAGGTATAAGGAAATCCTGCAAATCAGGAAGAAAGCCCTCTCCAGAATCATATTGTCTAAGACCTTGATCTTAGACTTACCAGCCTCCAGAACTGTGGGAAATAACTTTGTTATTTAAGCAAAACACACACACACACACACATACACACACACACACTTGCTCTAGCCCCAACCTTAGAAAAAACTAGTATCCTGAATAAAAATCTGTAGTACTCACTTTGTACAGATATGTTAGACCTAAAGGAATCTGACAATGTGCTAAAAAGTTAGTAAGTTTAAGACAGCAATGATACTGTCTTAAGACCTACAGCAAAATGACGGAACAAATCTTGAACTTTTTTTTTAACCTAGTACTTTCTGGATCAGGGTTATAAATCTACAGGCACACGCAGCACTTGCTACAAGTGTAAATTCTCAGGCCCCATTCCAGACCAAATGAATCCAGATCTCTGGGGATAAGACCCAAGAATGTGTGTTTATCAAGATTTACTGGCAGTTCTTTTGCCTATTAGAGCTTGAGTGGCCTAGATACTTGCAGGCTAAAGAGAGACCACACTTGGAGGCCTTTAAGATCCTGTGCTACCTCAGCCCAGTGGACAGTCTTTCTAGATACTGGACCTGGTCTAGGGTAGTGGGATGAAATGTACTTGCCGGCGTTCCACATCTGGTCTTCAGGAAGGGCCACTCTGAACAAAGTGAGAAGACAAGAAAGGAGGGCAGAGGGTTTCCTTTTCTTTCTTTCTCTTTCAGGAGAAAACAAAGGTTGAGGGTGGGGAGCGGAGAGTGGCAGGAGAGATTTTAAAACAATCTTATCTGGGGGCTTCTTCATCTTGGGTGGTATCCTTATTTTTAAGAACTTAAGTGGGGTTGGGTAGGCGTCAGGTCAGAGGTAAGAACGCTCAGTGCTGGAATCTTGGGACTCACACAATTCCTTCTAAATTATTCAAAGACTCAGTAGGATAAGGGGGGAAAAAGGTCAAGAATGCCATCAGTGCTAAAAAAAAAAAAAAAAAAAAACAAGGTACATTTAGCTGCAGTGTCTTGTGTTTTAACGTCTCTTGGGAAGCTAAGGAGAAGGTGAACTATAATTCCTAACATGTATCTGAGCATTCAGGGATGATACAAATCAACATACTTTAAATCTCTATTTGAAAGTTTCATAGACTCTCCAGACAAAAGAGAGCCAAGTTAAAGCAAACCAACCTATTTTAACATGACGCAGTAGTAAAGAGAGTCACGTGTTACCTTGTCAACATTAGCTCGTGTTTTAGCAGATGTTTCCACGTAGTTAACATTCCACTGCTCAGCTCTGTTTTTTGCCTCTTCTACAGAAACCTGCCTTTTATCTTCTAAATCTGATTTGTTACCAACCAGTAGAAAGGGAACATTCTCATCTTCTTTTACCCTTAAAATCTGCTCCCTGGATAAGAGAAAATGAAAAAGAAATAATAACATTATAAGGATAGTACAGAAAGTTCTTGTTTACCCCGTATCTAGTTTTCCCTATTGCTAACATCTTCTACTACTATGGTACACGAATCACAATTAAAGAACCAATACTGATACAGTATTAGCAACTAAGGTCCAAACTTTATTCAAATGTGCTTGCTTTTTGCCTGACATCCTTTTTCTGTTCCAGGATCCCATCCAGGTTGCCACATGACATTGAGTTTCGTCATGTCTCTTTAGCCTCGAGTTGGCCATGGTAGTTCTCAGACTTTCCTTGTTTTTGATGACCTTGATAGTTTTAAGGACTGCTGGCAGGCAGTTTGTTGAATGTCTCTCAACTGGGATTTGTCAGATGTTTTTCTCATGATTAAACCAGGGTTATTGGTTCTTGGGAGGAAGATAACAAGAGCCTGCTATTCTTATTGCATCATATCAAGGGTGCTGCCAACTGTTTTTTAAAACCCAAATGTGCCAGAAATTACTGGAAGTCAGACCTCGAGCATAAATTTTGCATTGAGAGGTAAGTTATCCACTGTGAAAGTGTCATCAACTTTAAAGTACCATGGTTCTGCTCTTCCTAGTCATGTAAGTCTGAGCAAAGTACTTCTTACCTCAGTTTCCTCATCTATAAAATGGAGCTAACAATGATACATTCCTTATAAAGTTGCTATGAGGGTTAAATGTGAAGTGCTTATAACTGCATGGAACAGCGTAAATATTAAAAAAATGTTATCTCATTAATCTACTGGAAGAAATGTTTTCTTATAAAATCAACAAACAAAAGGAAATCTGTAAGATTTAGGTTCACTAATTTGCTACCTTAAAAATGCCTCTCCTTTGAAATTATTAAGAGCTGTTGAAGCTATAGGAACATAAGTACAATCAGCCCTCTGTATCCACAGACTAAACTAACTGCAAATAAAAAATATCTTTTAAAACCCCCAAAACAGCCAGGTGCAGTGGCTCATACCTGTAAACCCAGCACTTTGGGAGGCTGAGGCAGGAGGATTGCTTGAGGCTAGGAGTTCAATACCAGCCCAGGCAACATAGTGAGACCCCATATCTATAAAGAATAGAAAAAAAAAATTGGCTGGGTGTAGTAGTGTGCACCTGTAGTCCTAGCTACTCAGGAAGATCACTTGAGCCCAGGAATTTAAGGCTGCAGTGAGCCACGATTACATCACTGTACTCTAGCCTGGATGACAGAGTAAGACCCTGTCTCAAAAAAAAAAAAATCAAAAACCAAAAAAATGCCACAACAAAAAGTAAAACAAAATTAAAATGCAGAATAACAACTATTTACCTACCAATTACACTGTATTAGCTATTAAAAATAATCTAGAGATGACTTAATATACATGGGAGGATGTGCACAGGCTATCTGCAAATACCACACCATTTTATAGAAGAGACTTGAATATCCATGGATGCTGGTATCCACAAGGGGTCCTGGAACCAATCCCCCCCCAGCCCATATTGAGGGATGACTATATTTTACAATAAGAGAAAATGAGAAAATTAAAGGGATATTAGAATGGCAAATCAGCAAAGTACACTTGGTTTTGCAGGTCTTTTTTTTTTTTTTTTCCTGACACCCAGGCTGGAGTGCAGTGGCATGATCATGGCTTGCTGCAGCCTCAACCTCCTGGACTCAAGCAATTCTCCCACCTCAACTTCCCAAGTAGCACAACTATACCACAGGCACGCACCACCATACCCAGCTAATTTTGTTTTCTTTTTTCCGTAGAGACGGGGTTTCACCGTGTCGTCCAGACTGGTCTTGAACGCCTGAGCTCAAGTGATCTGTCTGCCTCGACCTCCCAAAGTGCTGGGATTACTGCAGTGAGCCACTGCACCTGGCTGCAGGCATTCTATAGTGATCCTTGAGAAATTGGGAAAAACTTTCTTCCCTTATTTTCTGATTATTCCATTCTGTGCTTCTTAGACAATGTTTCCTAAATACCACCACCACACTACTACCACTAACATTTTACTCAGTGTTCACAATGTGCCAAACACCGCTTTCAGGACTTTACATATTTTCTCATTTAATCCTTACCTAAACCTATGAAGTTAGTATCATTATTATTCTTGTCCTACAGATGAGGAATCTGATACACAGAGAAATTACGTTAACTTGCTCAGAGTCACACTTAAGTAGAACCAGGTCTGAGAAATCCAACTCCAAAGCACACAATGAACTTGTACATTAGATACCACGAGAATACAAAGGCAGACCTCCTGGATTTTAACTCTATGCTATTCCTGACTGTACGACCTGGGGCAAGCCACTTAACCTCCCTGCATTTCAGCTTCTTCATTTATAAATTTGGATGTCGCTTTTTAAAATAAAGTTAAATTTAAGACATCACTGGTTCTCAATCTTATTTTATGGACTCCAAGAAAAAATGCTGGCAATTATAACTGTATGGTGCCATATCATAAGACATAGCCCTGAGAGCTGTTAAAATGTACATTTTATAATCTATGAAATCCAGTAGTATCTACCTCACAGTGTTGTTTGAGAAACTTGTTTATATATGTGAATGCTTAGAACAGTCTGGCTCCTGGTAAGTGCTGCATGAGTATGAGGTAGTGCTACTACTATTATTACTTCATTCACTTGATTACTCATGATGTAGCAAACGTTCTAATACATTCAACACTCAAAGGAAGTTCTTTGGAACTGAACTCTCAGTTCTTCTAACGTGAATAGACCATAGGCTGCACAGACTATGGGTCACAGAGAAAGTAAACTCCATTCTTCACTGATTTGTATTTGTCTTAAACATCCTTTTAGAAAACTAAATGCCAAATAAGCACGGTATCTGGGTGATGCAGGCTAAGATGTACAACACTACATAGTGCTATGATGCTTCCTACCACTCACATGATTTCTTGCAAAAACTAAGTCAACTTTCACCATGATTACTATTAAATATACGCAGTACTTGTGAAGAGGATTTTGGCCAATCACAATCTTTTTCTAGGGCGTGCTGTGACTTTCTTAACCAGTTTCCTTTGTGAATGAGGACCTGAATGCTGTTCTTCTTCTTCTTCTTTTTTTTTTAAATTATACTTTAAGTTCTAGGGTACATGTGCACAACGTGCAGGTTTGTTACATAGGGATACATGTGCCATGTTGGTTTGCTGCACCCATCAACTCATCATTTACATTAGGTATTTCTCCCAATGCTATCCCTCCCGCAGACCCCCACCCCAAGACAGGCTCAAGTGTGTGATGTGTCCCGCCCTGTGTCCAAGTGTTCTCATTGTTCAGTTCCCACCTATGAGTGAAAACATGCGGTGTTTGGTTTTCTGTCCTTGTGATAGTTTGCTCAGAATGATGGCTTCCAGCATCATCCATGTCCCTGCAAAGGACATGAACTCATCCTTTTTTATAGCTGCATAGTATTCCATGGTGTATATGTGCCACATTTTCTTAATCCAGTCTATCACTGATGGACATTTGGGTTGGTTCCAAGTCTTTGCTATTGTGAGTAGTGCCGCAATAAACATACATGTGCATGTGTCTTCATAGTAGCATGATTTATAATCCTTTGGGTATATACCCAGTAATGGGATCACTGGGTTAAATGGTATTTCTAGTTCTAGATCCTTGAGGAATCATCACACTGTCTTCCACAATGGTTAAACTAATTTACACTCCCACCAACAGTGTAAAAGCATCCCTATTTCTCCACATCCTCTCCAGCATCTGTTGTTTCCTGACTTAATGATCGCCACTGAATGAAGTTGTTAACAACAACTAACCTGCCACTCAGTCTCACCACTTGGAAGGTGAGACTGACTCAGGTGTTTGTAACTCTAGCACCTCTGGTTATATGTGTGTATATACAGTCATTAATTTATTTCTTAATAAATACCTACTAAGCTATTCTGAGTTAGGCGCTGCAGGGAAACCAATGCTGAAAAACTATAGTATGACTGATGCTGGCAGAAACAAGGCTATAGAAAACCTGGACCTACTGGGTTCTGAGGTGAGATGATGTTATTTTTTTTTAGAGTTAATAGATTGGTTTTATTAGCAACTTTCCTGGATGTCAGAGAAAGGTAATCCTATGGTATAAACTTCATATACATTTTGCTTAATACAATACTCCCTTTAAATACAGTTTTAGAGGCTATTACAGAATTTCAGAATAGGGAAGTACAATCTGGTCCAACTTCATTTTGACATAGGAAAGTAAAAACCAAAAGGTAACGGTTTTTGAATCAAAACAAATGTTTACTAAACATGTACTTACTATAGATTATATGCTAGCAACTATGTCATATATAGGTACTGGGGATACTGAGACAGGCAAGGAATGGGTGGTTAAGTGTGATACTGGAGTTGTATCAAGGACAACACATATATAGACAAGGAAGTAATGGATTTTGTGGATCATAGAGATGACCAGGAAGGCTAAAGGGAGGAGCTAATATTTATGCTACTCTTGTAGTTTAGACCACATGGAGTGCCTACTATAACCATTCAGACCTTTTCAAAAAAGTCTTTTATATTGTTGGTGAGTCAGTAGGGTCGTTTTTATTTATGGCAGGGGCACTGGAGGTATGCCATAAGAGTAATGAATCATCCTTATTTTCTGTAATAATAATCGCCCAAGATTCTTGGCATGAAAATACTTTATTCTCCTGAGATACCACTTTGACTTTGGTGACTATGGTGATTAACATTTATTCCATTACTTAGAACACGACTTGCTACATTATAAGCACTCAAATATCTGCTGAATGAATAAGCATTGGCATTTACATAACTTTCAACATGTCTTCCAATTACAAGTTACCAGGGTCTGCCACCCTTTGCATGTCATCATATATGAAATTCCTTCCTCATAGAAACCAACAAACTTTATTTTATAAATAAATCTATACTTCAGAGTTTCTCAATTACCTACTTTTTGTAAAGAATACTCTATTAGAGTAAGTTCTTGAGATTTTCAAGTGTGCATAAAAAGGAATGCTTTGTATAAGCCTTGGTTTAGTTTTTTGCTCAACCACCTGAAATGCCCTCTTTCCTTATATGTGAAAATCCTTCTTTTCTTCAAGCTCATCTACTTCATGAAGGTTTCCCAGTTTCTTTCCCCTCCCAGATCCTCTGTATTAACCACTGCCCATTGTTTCCTACTTTGTCACTAACTTGCTCTTGGTTAAATGCCTTATATATTCATCTAGGCTGTGTGAATCTTGAAAACAGTGGATACATTACATGCTTCTTTTCTGTCCTCCATAATCAAGTAGACACTTAACACAGAAATAAAAATATGTATCACTTAATTAAAGAACACTTGATTTATGCATGTAGTATATGCAAGACCACACAAGAACTCTATGCCAAATTTCTCTTATAGAGGAGTACCTCTTTCCCCTTCACCAAAACCACCTCCTCTAAAACCAAATGGGTTCCAGATTTTGATTAAACAATAAATATTAAAAATATAACAATCTAGTGTGCCCATCTACAGAGATATTATTTCTATTCAAAAATTCATTCATTCTGAAGGTTCCCATGTAATAAGAAAAACAAACAAACAAAATCAGCCTGTGCTATTAGGGCATCTATATTTTGAAGAGGATGGCAAAGTGTCTGCTGAACATTACATAGGTGCTGAGAAACCGTGACTAACAGAGAAAGCTGTAACACCTGGGTAAGCTCCACTATGTGCTCCAAGTATGAACTATTATGGCAGTAGTAGTTTACACTAAAGAGAAATACTTCAGTAACTCATAGAGACTCTGGGTAAGTGAAGCTGTCACAAGATCAAACTCTAATACAGGTGACACTGGGATAGCTGTAAGACTATGCAAAGTATCCTAACCGTGTGTACATAACACAGTAGAGAGAGTCATATACTAATATCAAAAAGGGAATAAACACAATTAGAATAAAAGACTAACAAGTTAGAACCTCTAGTTGTCTACTTGTGTGTGGGGAAGAAATTGTTGTATGGTATGTCACAAGCAACATTACTCTAGGACATACCTGAAGTCAGCTGTAGCTGCAAAGGATTCCATTTCTGTAATAGAGAAAACACAGAGGAACCCCTCCCCGCTTCGGAAGTAGTTGTCTCTAATTGCAGCGTAGTCCTCCTGCCCAGCTGTATCTAAGATATCGATCTGTACTTCCTCCCCATCTAGCACTACCTTCTTCCGATAGCTGTCCGCTTTGGTAGGCTCATAGTCCTCCACAAACTAGAAAAGATAAAAGCACACCAATTTTTTAATTGTTATTTTTACGTTTCAAAACTGCTTATTTTGAAATAATTATACATTCATGTGAAGCTGCCAAAATAGTATAAGAAGAGTTCTGTATACCCTTTGCCCAGATTCCTCCATTGGTAAAAACTACATTAATTTTAATTTTAGACAATCTGTAGGTTTCCTCATTTGCAAAAAGAGAGGGCTGAATTATTACCTCTAGGCTTTTTACAGCTTGAAAACAGCTTTTCTTCCTTAAAACACAATACCTGCAAAAACTATTACACATATATTTTACCAAATTTATAAGAATCTTTTTTCTATGTGACTCTGAATATAAATTTTCATGCTAGAATTGTGGAAATAACTTAAAAGTTAATATTTTGGTAAGCACTGAAAGTATCATTAAATCCTTTCTTTTTCTAAAATGAGCCAAGTCAATAAAGTGATTTATACTACTCAATAAAAGTCAAACCTTAACCTTTGAGACTTCTTCCCAAACTTTTGATTTTTTAAATAGTATAATTAAACAACTTTACATTCCCACTCCTATCGGCAGCCCCATAAATCTCACTTTAATATACCTTGATAAACCAGTATGTAGGTAGGCAGGCAGATAGATGATAAGTACATGTGTATGTACGTAGACAAGGCCTTACTATGTTGCCCAGGCTGGTCTTGAACTCCTGGGCTCAAACAGTCCTACTGCCTCGGTCTCCTAAAGTGTTGGGATCACAGGTGTAAGCCACCATGCCTGGCCTATCTTTTGATATCATTGTTAGCACGTGTTCATTTATACACAGATATTTGTGGGTTTTTTATTAGCTCCTGTAAATATTTTCATTATCTGATATGTTCTTATTTATTTGCTATGACTATATCCTGTCATTAGAATTTAACCCCTCAGAGCAGGGACCTTGCATATGCTACTCATCATTATATCTCTAAAGCCTACAACAGTGCCTGGTATATGGTAGATACTCAATAAATAATTTTTTAAAAAATGGACACAGTGTATTTGTAACTGTAAAAGTTAAATAACATTCCACCACATTTACATGCTATTAATGGGCTTAGTCATTCATTAAAAGTTAGGCATGTGGGCTGGGTGTGGTGGCGCATGCCTGTAATGCCAGCAGTTAGGGAGGCTGAGGTGAGTGGATCACTTGAGCCCAGGAGTTCAAGAGCAGACTGGGCAACATGGCAAAACCCTGTGATATGGTTTGGCTCTGTGTCCCCACCCAAATCTCATGTTGAACTGTAATTCCCAATGTTGGTGGAGGGAACAGGTGGGAGGTGACTGGATCATGGGGGCAGATTTCCCTCATGCTGTTCTCATGATAGTGAATTCTCATGAGATCTGATGGTTTTTGAAGTGTGCACATCTCTCTCTCTCTCCACCCCCACCCCAACATGTGAGGATGTACTTGCTTTCCCTTCACCCTCTGCCACAATTGTAGGTTTCCTGAAGCCTCCTAGTCATGCTTCCTGTTAAGCCTGCGGAACTGTGAGTCAATTAAACCTCTTATCTTCATAAATTACCCCAGTGTCAGGTAATTCTTTATAGTACTGTGAGAACAGATGGATACACCCCATCTCTACAAAAATATACAACAATTAGCTGGGCATAGTGGCATATGCCTGTAGTCTCAACTACTCGGAAGGCTGAAATGGGAGGATTGCTTGAGCCTGGGAGGCAGAGGTTGCAGTGAGCCGAGACTGCACCACCGCAAGGGCGACAGACATTACCTTAAAAAAAAAAAAAAAAAAAAAAAAAATTTAGGCATGTGAATATTCTTACTTTTGGCTTCCTTATTGTCAAGAGGAGACCAATTTAAGGATTAGTCTGAGAGAAGATTAGCTCTTAAATAAACAGTATGAAAAACAGAATTGAATTAATAGATCAGTAATTTCATTTAAAGTACCACTTCAATCCTCTCTCCATAAACTTTTTTTTAAAAGAGACAGAGGTTTTGCTCTGTTGTCTAGGCTGGAGTGCAGTGGCACAGTCGTTGCTCACTGTGACCTCCAACGCAAATGATCCTCCTGCCTTAGTCTCCTAAGTAACTAGGAAAACAGGCGTGCAGCACCACACCCAATTAATTTTTAAATATTTTTATAGAGACAGAGTCTCACTTTGTTGCCAGCTGGTTCAAGCTCCTAGGCTCAAGTGATTCTCCTGCCTACGCCTTCCCTAAACTTTTCAATTCGCTCACTAACAAGCGTGGCAACTGATAGATTTAAGGGTTTTATGTATGTGTGTAAAAAGAATGGTGGGACACAGGCAATAGAAAAAGACATGGGGGGTTGGGTGCACTGGCTCACACCTGTAATCCCAGCTCTGGGAGCCCAAGGTGGGAGGATCACGCTGGGCAACAGAGCGAGACCCTGGTCTCTATTTAAAAAAAAATAAAAGGTAAAAAAAGAGATAAAGACATGGGGTGGGAAAAAGTCTGTAGAGGTATTTTTAGTCAAAAGACCAGGTTTAACACTTTGTTGCTCATCACAGGTCACTTTTCTTGGGCAAGTTGGGTAACTCTCTGAGGTTCTGTTTTCACATCTGTAAAATGGGGATACCACCATCTCCCACACAAGATTGTTACGAGGACTAAGTTCTCTGCAACCATAAAACCTGGCTTTTATTGGGAGAAAACAGAAGTGAGGATAAATGCTAACACTGGATTACCAACTCTTACATCATCATTAAGACTTGATAACAGTCCTCCAGGGAAAGACTACATTGCTGTATAGAGGCTACACCTTTACTCAGGGATGATGAAGTCTGATAATGAATACAGGCATACAAATCTGTAACCTGTGTAGCAATTATAAATTTTAGCAACACAGCCTGTTTAATGATGAGGGTAGTGCCATGCCAAACATGCAATAATGACTTTTTCATCAAGTTTATTAAAAATTTTTTTTTTTTTTTTTTTTTTTTTTTTTTTTGAGACAGAGTCTCGCTCTGTTGCCCAGGCTGGAGTGCAGTGGTGTGATCTCAGCTCACTGCAAGCTCCATCTCCCGGGTTCATGCCATTCTCCTGCCTCAACCTCCTGAGCAGCTGGGACTACAGGTGCCTGCCACGGCGCCCAGCTACTTTTTTGTATTTTTAGTAGAGACGGGGTTTCACCGTGTTAGCCTGGATGGTCTCAATCTCCTGACCTTGTGATCCACCCGTCTTGGCCTCCCAAAGTGCTGGGATTACAGGCATGGTCCACTACGCCTGGCCTAAAAGATACTTTATATATGTTAACCTATTAAGTACTATACCCACCACTTCCATTAATTAAAGGTAGGAATCTCCAATAAAACCTAAAAACAAAAAAGCTAAAGTTAGATTACTAAAAAAAGAGGCACTGCTTTTAGTTTAGTTTTGTGTTTAAAGCATGAGGATTTTAAGGACCATAAGTTCCTGATTTGTAAAATCAAGTCATGTACAGATGGCTCTAAACACAAAAATGAAAAAAAATTATTAACAGTTTCGAGGATTCAAAGAATCCATACAAAATAGCACCAAAACTAAGCTAGGGAAATATTCTCTGAAAGCCTAAACTTTGATCCATTATAAAATTAACACTTACCTCATCGTACATGAACTGTAGAGTCAGAGCTGACTTGCCCACGCCACCACTGCCCACCATGATGACTTTGTGTAAGGCCAAAGAATTCTGACCCTTGGGCTTATTTGCGGCCATCTTGTGTCTCAGTTTTCACCAAAGGATTAAGAAGAATCTAAGAAAGAAAGAGTAAGTGATGCTCAGTACATTCTTCTTCAGAATTCCAGTGTAAGAAAGAGATTACGTCCTTAGAGTTCAATATACTACTTTTCAATCTGTAGTGATTTTAAACAGATGGCAAATGAAGTATGCTCACTTAGGGGAAGAACCATTAACCATTTATCAGAGAATACCATGGCAATAAATCAAGCCTATGACTCAAGGGCATTTCTCTTAAAATAGTTGGGTTTCAGTAATGAGCTATGATCACATGTGAAAATTTCCTAGTATAACTGCATGCTGACAATAATGAGGTATCAGCTGCACTGCAGTATGTCCACATAGACATGAAAGCAGGCTACAGGATCTCTGTTTTCACACTAATTTACACTGGCAATAATTAAAGAGATGTTTCTTCCTTTTTTTTTTTTTTTTTTTGAGACGGAGTCTTGCTCTGTCACTCAGGCTAGAGTGCAGTGGCGTGATCTTGGCTTACTGCAGCCTCCACCTCCCAGGTTCAAGCGATTCTTGTGCCTCAGCCTCCTGAGTAGCTGGGACTACAAGCGTGCACCACCATGCTTGGCTAGCTTTTGCATTTTTAGCAGAGACAGGGTTTCACTATGTTGGCCAGGCTGGTCTCAAACTCCTGGCCTCAAATGATCCGCCTGCCTTGGCCTTGCAAAGTGTTGGGATTACAGGCGTGAGCTACCACGCCCCCAACCAAGATGTTTCTCTTGAGTAAGAAACAAGTGACCAAAAAAAAGACTGCTAATGTGTTTACTACATCATGCCTCACATTAAGGACCTCATTGAGATGCTTACTTAATGCTATTTTATAGAAGAAGACACCCCATCCCAAAAACTTGGTGGTAGAATTATAAACAGAATACAACACTGTATACCCCAACTAACAGATTACTGGAACATTTGTTTCTTGGGGTGGATGGCCAATCTAACTTAAATGCTTGGATCTAGCATGCCTTCACTTTTCTCAGAGCATGCACTGTTTAATACATTTTGACATTCAGTGTGGAGAGGCCAGGTTTTTACAGAAGTTGTAGTGGGGATGTGCACTAATGGCATCCAGTTACCTCTGGCCACGCTTACTTAGCCTTAGAAAAAATCCTGTGAGGCCACAACAAACACTCTGAATGTGTGTGCAGATCCAAGCAAGGAGACTTTTTGTTATTAGGGGGTTGCACCCCTTGTCCTCAGCAACTCTTTGACTTGTTTTGGACACAAACAGCTTTCTATGTTGCAGCTCCCAGAACCATGCTCCCTCCAGTTTACCTTTCTATCTTGGGCCAATCCTTCCTAGCTCAGCTGCATCAGACCCACAATGGTCTCCTTCTGTTCTTCACTCTTCTATGCCTCTTGGCCTTTGCCATGCAGCTTCCTCTGTCTGGTATATTCTTATTCTATCTGGCTAACTCCTCTTGGTTTTTGGGTCTTAGCCTTACCTGAAACTCTCAACCTAATTAGGTTCTTCTCTGCTCTGTGCTCTCAGATAGCATCTGCTACTTTTCCTTCATAACCCTTATCACAAGTTGAAATTGCCTGAATATGTATTAGGTTGGCGGGAAAGTAATTGCAGTTTTGGCCATTACTTTCAATGGCAAAATCGCAATTACTTTTGCACCAACTTAATAGTATAAGTATTTCTCTAGTATACCAGAAACAGAGAGTTCAGGGCCATGTCCATTTTGGTTAATAGTCTGCTTAATGTAACTAACATGGCTGGCAAAATCAGCCACTTAGTGCAAAAGTGTTGAATGAATGAATGAATGAATGAATACACAAATGTTTGCAGTCTGACTTAACCCTGAGGAATACTTTAGGCCAAGCTTGTCCAACCTGTGGCCCATGGGCCACATGCAGCCCTTTGAATGCCCAACACAAATTTGAAAACTCTCTTAAAACATTATGCAACTTTTTTTTTTTTTTTTTTTTTTGCTCATCAGCTATCATTAGTGTATTTGATGTCTGGCCCAAGACAATTCTTCTTCCAATGTGGCCCAGGGAAGCCAAAAGATTGGACCTCTGCTTTTAGGCTGTACTGGTGTAAAGTAGCTCTTCCTACTAGAGGTTCAATCACAAGCAGGGGCCAGGACAATCTGCCATGGGTCTGTGCCTCACATACGGGATGTACAGGGCACCCAAGAGCTGGGCAGAGCTTCAGGCCCCAACCATAAATCATTCCCATATGCCTGTTTGCCCAATACAGAAAAGTATTAAGAAAAATCCGCCATAATCCTCTTGTCCATTTAACAATATGAACAGGCTAACATACTTCCTTGGAGACTGCTTTCAATCTACACTTAACATAACTGAGATCACGTATACATAAATGCATTTTTTTCATCCTGTTCTTACCATTGTATCAAAAGCATTTTAGCAGAAGCAGTTTGAACTGTTAAGTGTATGGCAAAAAATTTACACTTACAGGCTAAGAGTTCAATTTAATTCAACAAACACGAATTCAGCCGCTCTTTGACTTGGGTATGGAGAACATGACCATTCAATTGTGAGTGCTTATCACTGCTCAAAAACAATGAAAATTACAGTACACTGCAGGTAACTAAAAGTCTGAAAGATACCAAATCTAAGCCAGTTTATGAAGCATGCTGTTGCTGGTGTTCCTAAACACGTCAGGAAGTCACTTCTTTATTATAATCCTTACTTGCTGGCAATTATAATCATGTCACAGCTAATATATCTACTGTTTTATTTTTAAAACAGTTCATATCACATGAGCTCAGGGCATTACCATATCAATTAATACTCTAAGAGTTGTGTGTGTGTATGTGCTCAAAAGAAAACACTTATCAGTCACTACAACTGGGTTAAAACACTTTTCCTTCTAGAACAATTTAAAATACAATCTGTGACTCAGAAAAGGCAGAGATTTCCAAGGACATTTTTCCAAAGTGCAAACATTTCCTAATAACTATGAGCTGCGCACTCCAGACTATTAAGAGGCTATCCAGGAAAAGAAGCTCCTGCCAAGGAAAAACTACTCGACCCCCGTATTAAAAGACTTGGAACTCCACCACTTAATTCCCAAGCCCTAGTCGAGATGTTGTTTCGAATGATAAACAAGCCAAAGACCCTGTCTATGTGGAACTTAAGACACACACATACACAAATAAGCAAATACCATTAGTGCAAAGTGCAATGAAAAAAAAAATAAGGCAGCAATGGGGGGAGGAGCTACTTTAACCAGATGTTCAAGGATGACTCCTCTGAAGAGGTAGCATTTGAGCTGAGATCTGAATGTTTTGAAGAAACCAGTCAGCTCTGAGGGGAGAGCATTCCAGACACAGGGAATAACAAGTACAAAGAACTTAGAAGGGGGTGGGAGTGGGGAGCCTGTTCTAGGGACCAGAAGAAGGCCAAAGTAGATGAAGCCTAGTGTCAGTCTGTTTCTTGTTGCTATAACAGAATATCTGAGACTGGGTAATTTATTTTTTAAAAAGAAATTGATTTCTTACAGTTCTGAAGGCTGGGAATCCTAAGAGCATGGTGGCAGCACCTACATGGCTTCTGGTGGAAGACATCATATGGCAAATGGGCAAGTTTGCTGCCTCTTATAAAGCCACCAGTCCCATCATGGGGGCCCTACCCTGATAACCTTATTTAATCCTAATTACCTCCCAAAGCCTCACTGCCAATCAACATATGAATGTGGGGATTAAATTTCCAACACACGGCCAGGTGCAGTGGCTCATGCCTATAATCCCAGCACTTTAGGAGGCTAAGGCGGGTGGATCAGTTGAGGTCAGGAGGCCAGCTGGCAACACGGTGAAACCCCATCTCTACTAAAAATACAAAAAAAGTAGTGGGGCATGGTGGTAGGCGCCTGTAATCCCAGCTACACAGGAGGCTGAGGCAGGAGAATCGCTTGAACCCAGGAGGTGGAGGTTGCAGTGAGCCAAGACCGTGCCACTGCACTCCAGCCTGGGCAACAGAGTGAGACTGTCTTAGAAAGAAAAAAAAAAATTTCCAACACATGAAATTTGCAGGACACATTTAAACAACAGCATTTAGTGAATGACTGGAGAGTAAGAGGAGCTAAAATTGACAGGTAGGCAGAGGGCGATTCACAAAAAACCTTGAAGGCCCCCGAAGTGTTTGGATTTTACTAGAACTGCAACGGGAAGCCTCTGGAGTTTTTAAGAAGGATAGTGGCAAAATTTGGGTTTTTAAAAAGATTACCCTGGTTGGTGTGTAGAGAATGGACAGTGGAAGTGGCAAGAGTTGAAAGTATAGGAGGCTATCCCATTAATCTACGCAAGAGAGGATAGAGGCTTGGGGTACAGCAGCAGCAGCAGCAGTAACCGTATTACTAGTTCCCGTATAACTACTAATACCAACTACACTGGGGACAACGAACATTTACTGACCACTCACTAAGTGTGAGGCACTGTTCTGAGCACTCTGCACATACTAATTCAGCTGAGTACTACATTTCAGATATTTACAATCCTAGGTGGTATGTACTATTTTAATTTCATTTAACAGATGAGGAATCTGGGTCACAGATGTCGACTTGCTCAAGACTAAGCCAGAATTCAGACTGAGGCAACCTGGCTCTCCTAACCACTATGTTATTTGGGATACACTTTGAAGAAACAGTTGATAGGACTTCCTGATAGATTGGATGGGAGAAAACAAGACTAACCTTTAAGTTTTTGCCCCAAATATCTGAATGTTAGGCACCTCTATCTAAGATGGAGAACGACCAAGAAGGAATAGGTCTGGGAAAGAAATCCCAAGCTCTGCTTGCACATTAGACATTTCAACTAGAGTTGAACAAGAAAAACTTAATGTTTTAGTCTGGAGTTCAGGGATGAGGGTAGAGATGGAAAAAAAAATCGCATGTCAGTTTACAGATGATATTTAAAGTCACAAGACTGGAATGAGCTTTCTTAGGGACAAGAGGAAGATAGATACGAGAAAGCGGCAAAGGAAAGAGCCCTGAAACAACTCAACAGGCTAGGCCAGCAGGAGATCTAG